GAATCACCTTTGTTTGGATCTTTGGATCGAATCAGATAATGGGATCTTATCAGAAACTGGATCAGATTTGGATAACTAGATTGATAATACTATAGTTTTATGGATTATTAAATTCAACAAGTAATTTATATTTTAAAATTTAAATAATGATACTATTTCAATAAATAAATAATATTGTAAATAACTAATTTCATTTATACCAATTAATAATTCTAGAAAATAACTTTCAAAAAATTACTGCTTATTAATAATAGTTTAAAAAAACTTAATCTTTATTTATTATATATTCATATATACTAAAATTAATATTTATTGTATTTAAGTAAGTATCTATTGTTTTCTGTGATAAATATATTTTCAAAAATTATGTATATATCTATTTTTGTTTTGTTATTTAATAGAAAATTTTCAATAATTATTGGAGTTTAAACTATTATTATTTATCTTTTTAAATTTAACTTATTATGAATTTTTGCTATAAACTTTTAATAATTATTGGAGATTAAGTTATTGTTCAYGAGTTGGTTCGGTTTAGTTGTAGGTTGTTTGGCCAACCAAATCGACCTGGTTAGGTTGGGGGTTGGTCACTTAGGTTATATCAGTTTGGGTCACTTTTTGGTTTGGTTAGTTGATTCAAAAGATTTAAACTTAAAAAATTAAAATTAAAAATTAAGCTTAAATCTTTTAAAAAGTTATAATGATATTATTTAAAAATAAATTTTTATGATATAAACTATTTTAGCCTAAGAAATATTGGAATTTTCCCACTTTCCTGTGTTAAAAAAATATATTTAAAATATAAAATGTTAATATATATCTCTCGTTGGGTCGTTCAATTTTAATCAGTTTACAAATGGGAAAAGCGAAAATGAGCTAACCCAATAAAGTTGGGAATTGTTGAATAAAAGATGACTGGAAATACTAGAAATCAGATTAGTCAGGGGATTGGGGGCCACGCGGGGTAGGACCGCCCATCCCCGCCAACAGAGAAAGAAATTTCCCCATCTAGATCCCCGTAAGGAGAAAATCATCCCTATCCCCACCCCATTCGAGACAGATTTCTATAAAGATTGAGAAAATAGGAAAAATTACCATTCCTAAATTTAATAAATAACTCTATATAAAATTATTTATTGTTATTTTTTATATTATAAAAAATTATTATATAAAATATTTGTATATTCTTACATGTTTCCGGTTTATCTAAGTTATAAGCTAAAAAGAACGCATTGTTTTATTTTATATTAATTGAATGGTGCGCACCTAACAACTCCAACTGAATCATCATCCTTAGAGATTTCTGGATTTAGTGGACTGTCAGAAGTTCTTTCCACGTCAAACCCATACTCTATCATATATTGGCCCTTGTCGAGTTAACTACGCAAGCCCTGACGTGAGGCACTAAAGAAAAATATGTTGGTGTATGAGCTTTTCGTCAAAGATTTAAACCGAGTGACTGAGCAGTTGAACACGGCAGGACTACGTCATTCACTCGATGTGACTGCTTCTGCTACATCATCATGCTGAAATTTAATTAATYAAAATGTGGGGAGGGTGGTATGGAGGAATTTACATCTGCGCCCCACTACGTCCAACAGCACATTTTTGTCGTGTATTGAGAACATCTCGTCGTGATCGTATTAAATTGATGATGTTGGGAGATGTTCCTAATACATGTATTGAAGATTTGCTGTGGGACGTTGTAGGGTACCCTTTTGGGCACAGACCACGATCAACGAGGCTATAAAAATAATAATTTTATAAAATAATTAAAATAAGATAACTTTTAAAAAAAATATCAAAAAAGGAAATGCGTACTGTTCATCATCCTTCTCTTTCTCTGTCTGTATTCATGCCGGCCATTACAACGGGTACACGACAGCCCGCGTTGGCTTCATTCCCTGCAAACCTAGCACGTAGGTCGTCGTCTCCAGACGTTAGACCGGTGTTGCCTGCGTTTCTACCACTGCCTCCTTTGTTATTATCACCCAGCTGTTGCTGATTATCGTCGATACCGATCATCTTGCTTTCCTATCGATCAAACGGCGTAGATAGAAAAAGGAATAAAAGAATATGCTCTTTGGTCTTGGCCACCTCGGCTGATGCAACACAATCTGAGCACTCCTAACTAGTTGAGAGTTAGTGACGGCACTCGAGAGGAAGAAGAAGGTGAAGTGTTTCCTAGGAGTTCTCCCGGAGGAAACACTCTGATAGCTAAGTTAAAACTCTGGGGAAAGTGCCATTACCCTGACATTAAGAGTGTTGAAAGTGCTAGCTTTAATACCTTTGCTTCATGAGGGTTGGGGTCCTTTTATACCGGAGCTCGGTCACATCAGGTGTAACTGCCATTACCCTAGCCGTTACCACCAGGGCAGAGGTGGCAGGTGCAGGCTGCTGCTACTACAAGGTATGGACTACGACAGGCATGCCATGCTTTTCAGATACAGCAGGCAGAACGCTGCCTGGCAAGGGATCCGAGCACTGCCATCGGATCCGGTAGGTACGGATGTCAGGCGGGCACGAATGTCAGGCAGATCTCCTTGCAGTCTGCTGAGCCATCGTACAGGAATCTCGACGGTACTGCCCCGAGGTGTTTCTCCCTTGGGACACTTAGCCAAAAGCCGGGGTGCTCCCTTCTTAGGAAGGGAGAGCTCGGGTCCTTAGAGGAGATCGGGCCCTGAGAGGGGTTCGGGATCTCCTACACTTGGTGGGAGTCAAGGTTGGCCGGGYGCTAGTCATCGGTGAGTCGCTTAACTCGCCGAGCGGCCAATGTTGGATTCGGCGGGTCCCTCCCGTCGAGTCACGGTTGTGATGTTAGGCTGAGCTGTTCGTCGAGCCAGGTCCTGCACATGTGTCCCTGTGTTACGAGGTCGGGCCAAATCACCCTCCATCATCGGCCATGGCCAAGTCGACAATGTTTGAGACGGTATCCCTCATGACTGGCATGAACATAGACTTGTTCATGGGCCAGGCCGGGCTGGGCTTGGGCCGGGCTTTCACTTGTCACTAATGAAAATATACTAGGCCCGAGCCCGAGCCCGAAACCCGACCTAATTGAAAAAAAAAAAATTCCCTATTCAAATTAGAATTAAAAATTTAGATAGTATTTTTTTTCTATTTAAATGAACAATGGGCCTACAAGATGGTATTTTTCCCTTTCTTTTATATTTTAAAACACAATTTTACATTCTTAAATAAAAAAAATTATTCAAATGGACATAATCACATAACTAATTTTAAGTTTAATATTAGGTCGGGCTGGGCCGGCTATTTTGACAAAACCCGAGCCCGGCTTGAATTTATTGCGGGCCGAGCTTTTTGGTCCGAATTTAAGCTCGTGGGCCTATAAGCATGTTTAAGCCCGTTCGGGAGTCGAACCGGGCCGGGTTGGCCCGTCGGTCCACTAGGCAAAAGAAGAGGAAGACGATGAAGCCAACGCGGGCTGGCTGGAGACGACAAACTAGGTGCTGGATTTGCAGGGAATGAAGCCAACCCGGACTGCCATGTTGAAATGGCTGCATGAATACAAGCAGAGAAAGAGGAAGACGATGAACAGTACGAATGCCCTTTTTTATATTTTCCCCCAAAATTTATCTTATTTTATAAAATTAGGGTTTCTACAGTAATTATTTTAGTTATTTTATAAAGTTATCTTATTTTTGCCCTAAATATCAATAAAAAGTAATAATTTTATAAAATAACTAAAATAAGATAACTTTTGGAGAAAAATATCAAAAAAGGGCATTTGCACTATTCATCATCCTTCTCTTTCTCTGCCTGTATTCATGCCAGCCATTTCAACGGCTAAATGACAGCCCGCGTTGGCTTCATTCCCTGCAAACCCAGCACGTAGGCCGTCGTCTCCAGATGCCAGATCGGTGTTGCCTGTGTTTATACCACTGCCTTCTCTGTTGTTGTCTCCTGACGCCAAACCGGTGTTGCCTGCATTTCTACCCCTACCTCCTCTGTTACTATCACCCAGTTGTTGCTGATTATCGCTGGTATTGATCATCTTGCTTTCCTATCGATCAGACGACGTAGATAAAAAAAGGAACAGACGAACCTACTCTTTGGTCTTGTCCACCCCGACCATGGTCGAATCGGCAATGTTTGAGATGGTATCCCTCGTGACTAGAATGAATACTGGCAAAAGAAGAGGAAGACAATCAA